AGCCCAACTTCACGGTACCCATCGGCGCTCCCACTAAGTTCCCAGCGCTGGACAAGCGTCTGGAACTGTGGCGCGATGTACGGAAGGATGCGGAGGCAGCGCTGCGTATGGAGAAGGCGGCAATGAAGGAGTCGTTCGAACGTGACAAGCCAAAGCCCCACGAGTTCAAGCCTGGAGACCGTGTCTGGATGGACTCACGGGATGTCACCATCCATCAGGCCAGCCGCAAACTGGGACCACGACGACTTGGACCATACGAGGTACTGGAACGCACCGGCGAACTCACGTACCGACTTCAACTCCCCCCTTCCATGCAGAACCGACACGCCGTCATCCACGTCGACCGCCTCACACCCTGGACGGGCAACGACGTCAACGGCATACTTCCGCCCCCGCCGGAACCAGTCGAAGTCGAAGGGGAACTCGAGTACGAGGTCGAAAAGATTGAAGACAGCCGCACGTACCGTAATCAGTTCCAATACCTAGTGAAGTGGAAAGGCTACGACGAAGGCCAGAACAGCTGGGAGCCGGCAAAGGACCTCACTCATTGCCAAGAGCTCATCGACGAATTTCATGAACGAAACCCCACCGCCCCACACCGAATCGCTGCCGCCATCTTCCAATCCCTTCCCTGGCAACCCCTCGTCAATTTCACCGCTACCGCACCCTCCGAACTCGAATGGGCTTCCGGACGACGCCCTGGCCTAGGGTCCATCGGGGACCAACGGACCTTAGGAGGGGGGTAATGTCACGGACGTTGGACAGACGCCCCTTTTTGCCGCCCATTCCCCTCTCCTTGACGCCCACCTTCCATTTTCGGACCATTTCCTTTCTTAGCCCATCCCAGTTTGGACACTGCAGATACGTTCCCACACCCGCATGCTACGTTCCCGTGATCGCCATGCCTTTGCCTTTTCCTTCCCGCCCTTTGTTCTCCCTTTGTCATCTTCACTGCCTCGCTCTCGCGCCTTGTCTTTGGTTGCTAAGCAGCCCTTCTAGTATATAAGGACCCCCCTAGGCGCTTCCTAGTCCCCATCTCGACCTCTTGGTCATTGGGACTAGGTGAGTGACCATAGCGTTGTATCTCTCTTCGATTGCTAATGTATAACTTGGTCATTGGGACTAGTCTGTCGCTGGTTGCGTGAAGACTAGCTTTCGTCGGTCTCGTGCCTTCGTGCCGACCGCCGCTCTGCCCCGTCGAGTTTTCTGTCACGTTTATCCCTCTCTCTCTCTCTTTTCCCTTTCGGCTCCTTGCCGCTCGTCTACGGGCTCGTCACCGAACGTCGACCCGAGTCTACGCGCCTAGTCGCCGCGACAACGCGTGCTGGGATACATTGACACCTGTTCCCACCCTGCGCCTGCCTGCCGCCCTGCTGCCTCCCGCATCTCACGCCAGCCTATCTACTGCGTGTAAAGTGTGTGGCTTGCGTGGCTATGAACTTGTGCTTATGGAACTGTCAGTGTTACTGTACTGTGGCCTACCTGTGTACAGTCTTTGCCTGCCACCTCTTACCGTTATGCAAGTACTAACCAGCTCACCTGTACATCAGCAAAAATGTTCAACCGTTGTAATGCGGGTTATAATGGCAATATGAGGAGTGGCTATATAACCTTTCACTGTAACCCCAGTCTTGACAATGTTAGTGTTGTATTGGTGTTAGATATGAGAGCTTAGTTTTTGTGATCACTATAGTCTGTCGCGCTGTCATTGCAACTCACAAGCTCGCACTGGAACACATGGGCCTGCTCAGGCAGGGATTATCACGAGAGCTGGGAGTTCCCATGGTATTCCCATCATATATATGGTCAAGGTCTGATGCAGGCAAACCGTGGGACACTTTGACACGATACCACGCACAGAAAATATGCGAAAACCAATGAAATTAGATTAGGCTAACTATAATATGACAAAGTCACAGGACTATCTTCTCGACACCCTCGCACCAAATGCCCTTAGTCTCACTGATAACCCGCACAATGCTCTCCTCTGCCTTCTTTGCCATCTTGATCATCGCGCTTGCATAGGCCGACGGGGTCGATGGCAGCACAGAGTGGGAGAGCTCCAGGAGTTGCAACGCTCCGGCTTCAGCTGTCTCAGACACCGCAGTGGCCAAGGAGCCGTCCGAGGCGAGCACGTTGAGCGAGGCATGGAACCGGGAGGACTGCGCAGTCTTGATGACCGAGGTGCAGAGGAGGAGTGTCCTGAGAGGAGGGTGGAGGGTTGCGCAGCTCGGCGTATGGGAAGTTTTGAGGTACGCGACCATAGACATGATACCAGAGACCAATGCGAGGCGGGTGTCAGCTGTATGCGCAGAAACCCAGATGAAATGTACCTGACTGTTAGCACGAGTTCTCAGTGAATCATGGTCAGTACGAACCTCCGGTACAGTGAAGTCAAACACGCTCTCCGCCAATTCCCAGATACTGACAGTAGTCAAGGTCAAGTAGAACACACGAATGACGATTGACCAGTGGCGCATGAGCAGCAGCAGCATCCATTGTCCTCGCAAGAAATGCGCTGCAAAGGACATGAGCAGCATCGGCACGAACGGCAGCTGGTAGAGAGTAGGCAGCATGACTGACCGTCATAAGGCAAACACCCGAGCTGCTAAGTACAGTACAGTCAGTATGAGGGTCTACACAAATGTCGTAAGTGTAACGGTCGTGGTGCGCGCGAGACCATATGATTGGAGTGCAAAGATAGTCTGCTTGCCGTTATAGCAAGTGGTCCAGTCAGGTCCGCACTAGCAGATTTTGTTTGAGCAGGTGATGAGCTGGATGGTGGGAGAGGCAAGGAAAGGAGCGACAACTTATCTGCGTGCTCGTCCCGGCTTTTGAGGAAATGACAAAGACCATGACAGGTCGTGAGCTATGACATTACGTGTGCCAATGTATGGCAGCTGGGCTACGATCTGCTGCCTTGACCCTAACCCAATGCTCTTGCAGCCAGGACAACCGTGACCGTGCACCATCAATATGCTTTTCGAGGAGACGACACTTACTTCTTTGATCGTCTCAACAACGTCCTCCTACCCACCTTCGGAGGAAATGGTGTTCGCAATCGCATTTGATGGAGGCATGGATGACTTGGATGGTGACGCAGTAGCGTCAGACACTGATCATGCGCTGGTCATGCGAGTAGTCATGGTCTTGGGGGGCTGAAGAAGACTGAGTGTGAGATGGATCTGGCAGGAGAGAGACTTAGAACTGGTTGAAGCGCACTAGCAGAGAGCGGTACACGACGAGAGACGGTGGTAGTGGTGACGGGCAAGGTGGTAGAGTGTTGCCGCGGGCGAAGGATTCAACGCTGTGCCTGCACTGAACGCGCGGCAATTTGAGCGACAGCGAATGTAGAGGCCTCCGGTATCACCTGGGCCTGTGCACATATGGTTGTATTTCTGTACGCATGTCAAAGAATAGCTATTGGATGATATATGTATGGCGAGCCTATTGTATGCAATGTCATTGCTATCAGTGTCCCCGACGGCCTTATAAATCGCCTCGCCCCGCCAAGGTTGACAATGGCAGGCTCATGTATTCCAATCCCCTGCTTGCCAATTTTGGCGTTACAATTCTGGGCACGTGTGGCATTGCCGCTGGCACGGTTTCGCACATTTGCTGATGTATGCGCTCACTACTATGTACCACAAACATCCTTATGCTAGTACCTACCTTGTAGCCTCAAAGCAGTCAGTGAGAGTGCCGATGGTGGGAGAACAGAAGAGAGAGTGTGCAGAAGGCGAGACGGCAATTGACCGCATTTATGAGTGCGTCGGGGATGTCGATGGCATCATGGACGAAGGGGTCAGGAACGAGATCGAGGACCAGCCAGACATGGAAATGGATGATAGTAGTCGTTTGGCGCCCAGAGAATGGATGGGCTCGGCAGGAGCCTGCCGCTGATCCGAGCACACCACCCGGCGTGGGACATGCGACGCTGATTTTTACATTCACTGTAACCCATAGCCCTCGGGACAGGCCCGAATATATGGGTTTTGAGGGGTTATGGGCTGCGAGAACTTAAGCGCCTTATATGCGCCCCTGATTAGTCCCAGTTAGCGAGCGCTGGAAAGGCGTCTACTGACCCTTTGAGGGAGCGCTATGGGATTTCGAACAGACTCACCTACCCACATCGTGGTCCGAGCATGGATGGACACTGGGAGGACTCTGGGAAGCATGCATCGAGTATTACAAAGGTTATTGATGAGCTTAATCTCAATGTGAGCCCTATTACCGTATGGGTTTTGGGCCCTAGAAAGCTATGGGTTATTGGGTACCAGGGGCCTATGGGTTATGGGGTCGAATTCCCCCTATCCCGACTTGGGAAAGCCAAAATCCTATGGGTTTCGGGAGTTTATGGGTTACCAGGGGTATGGGTTAGGAGTGTCACGAACCGCCCTCACGGCGCTATGTTTCCTTTTCGATTCGGACCACTGCCTCGTACGTTTCCTTATTGTTCACTACTCGCTACGGTTTCCCTTTGTCCACACACGGACAATAGCTCCCTTTGTTCCCACGTCCGCTATTGTCCTACACCCCTTGTACTCCGTACCCATGGCGACGCTATTGTTCTCTAGCGCCCATTGTTCGTTCCCTGTATATAGCTGGATCCCTTGCTACCTGGAGACTCTAGTTTCGACCTCTTGTCTCCAGGTAAGCCATCGTGTATTTCGCTCTGTAGATACCTCGCTCAATACACAACTTGTCTCCAGTCCTGCCTGTTGAGCTCCGCTCCAGTCTCACTGCGATCAGAGCTCGTCGACGCTCCTGCCTGCCTCGCTCGTCTCCACTTACTCGCTCGACAGTCAGTCGTAACATTAGGTCG